ACACCATAATCTGCTCCTCTTGTATCGCCATCATCAATCATCCTTTCTTTCTCGTTCGGAAATCGCGCAACATTCTCGTCCCCTTCAGACGCTCCACCTTGCGCCACCATGACCGTTGTTTTCTGTCCGTGATCGCGGGCCATCAGCGAAGTTCGATACGTGCTTGTGAACCCCGGTTGCTGTTCGTGTAACCCCTCGTTGGTCCGCTGCTGTCCCGCGTGCCAACTGACCGTTCAAGGCCCCGTCGACCGCAACAACAAGCCATCAGCAACCTCCCGGCGAGTACAACCTCCAACGGGACCCTTCACAGCGACCAGCAGGAGCCCCGACGAGTCGCCCTCGTCCCTCTCAGCAACCCTAGCAGCCGAGAACCAGCCCCGCTGCCCTCCTCTTCCGACGAGACGAGAGAATTCGTCGAGCCCGGCAACCCCGTTCGTGTCCTACGTCCCGTTTCTTTTAGTTTTTCCCGAGAACGGTATCGAGCCTCGATCCTTCTAGCATTAATTTTCATGTTAATTTGATGTGTTATCGTGTCCTATGAATTATACGTGCTCAATGGATTAATGTGAACGTTGTTTGGTTCTGTATGATTATTGTCGTATTATGTGTGATCGTCGTCGGTTCAGGTGAATCAAACAAAAACACATTATAATCGTATTTAGTTGCTGGGGGTATTGGAACATAATGTGTCCATGGTCTTAAGTGAAGGCCTCGGACAAATTCGAGTCTTATCGAGTCGTATATGAATTATTGATATCGTATGCTCGCTGTTTTAGTGTTTGAATTTTTAAAAATTGTATACTGCTCCGATTGCTTGGAAATTTTATATGCAATGTCCTGTATTGATACTCCAGGTTGTGTAAAAATTTCATAATTTTTCACGGCATGTAGCTATTTTTAATAATTAAATCAATGTTTGGGCAAATTCTTGTTAAATGCATAACAAATTGAGTTGTGATTGGAATCTGATGAAATTCGAGTATGTTGTGTTTCTGGCATGTTTATATGTTGTGCTAAAGTTTTAGAATTTTTGGGCTAAGTTTGATAGGGCAAATAATTTATTCTAGTATTCTGCTGAAAACATATTTTATTATGATTAATTGGTGGGTTACTGGAAAATGCTGATTTTTGGATGAGGTGAATGTTTTATGTGTGTTTTCATTCTGTAAAAAAAGTTTGGAATTTTTGGAGCTCGAATTGCTTTGGTTTTAATTGAAGTTCGATAAACTGCAGAAACGTGTATGAATTTTTAAAATTTGTGTACTTATGGTTTATAGCTGGAATTTTTATGTGATAGTCCTTACCTACTGAGGTTACTCCAGTAAAAATTTCAAATACTAATTCATTCAGTAAGTCAGACTTTGAATCTTATGTTCATTTTTGTTGTTATTTTGTATGAATTTTATAAAATCATGTGCTTTGAATTTAAGGCTGAAACTTGGTGATTTTTTTAAGTATTGGGAGGTGTATTTTTGGTTAAAATGTCAGATTCTAATTCTTAAGGCAACCTGATCAACTTAATTTTGGTGATTATTGGCTAGTAACTTGTGAAATATGATTTTATGGTAAAAAACTTTAAATCGACTAGCCTTCTGTTTCTTTGTGTGTTTGACTTGGTCAATCTTTGATTGAGATTATGTGAACTCCCATGTGTATTTATTTGAGTCTCAGCGTCGAGTCTAAGTGTTCCAATGTCCACAGAACTTCACGAACAACTTAGTTGAATCAAGTTCGACTAAGTATGATTGTGTTTTCTGTTTAAGTCAAATGGATGTTGATTATAGCATCTGGACTTAATGTAGGTGTTGGAGGAGTTGAGCCCTCGACCTACCGACCTGTTTGTGTGCCTTTCTACCGATTTACCAGGTGGGTTTATTTATAAAATTTGCTATGCCGTAAATCATTTATTGTTGTTGGGTTGGTATGATCAATGCATGCTTATGAATTGGTGTAACCTTCGATGTGAGCTGTATGTCCTTCGAACGGTTGTCCCCGTCGATGTGAGCTGTATGTCCTTCGATGGTGCCTTGTGAGGCAATCTCCGTAAGTCCTAATGAAAGGCCATACCGTTGAGAGCTGTATGTCCTTCGGTATGCACTCCCATTGTTGAGAGCTGTATGTCCTTCAGTGACTAATGATAGATGTGCACATGAGTGAGATTTTTGATATATTGCTTGGAGATGTGACATGTTGAATTGATTTATGATCATGTTGTGACCATACCCTTTGTTATATTATGCTGTTATTTACTTGCATAGTGGTGAGCACTACGGATTCTTTTGTGCTCATCCCCACCTGCTCTTCATGGATGCATGTTAGTATGTGCGGGCACGACGGAGGAAAGCGAGTGGTGGTCGGTCAATTACGACCAATTTATGATTTGATATTGCTTCCGCTTAAGAAACTGAATATTGTTATTATTGCTTTTGTACTATTAAGGAATGAATTATTGAGAATTTATGACCGATGATTGTGACTTGAGGCTATTATTGAATTATTGATGTATGTTGTTGAAAACGGATAGCGCCTCAAGTTTAGAAAATGAATTTTAAAAAAAAAATTATTATCATGAATTTTTGCAAATAAAAGTGGGGCGTTACATGGTCGTCGTGGTATGGTCACTTTCTGGTTTTGGTCTCCGGTTTGGATGTATGATTGGAATCTCTATATACCTTAAGATCTTCTACAGTATTCTCAAACAGCTTTCTAGATCTTGTATCAGTGGAACACAAGAAATAGAAGAACTCCTTGAAAAGAGAGAGAGAGAGGGGCGGACGAAATAGAGTTGATGGGATTGTTCTTCTCTTCCAAGAGCCTAATGCTGTATATATAGAGCTACAGTAGGGACCCTAAG